CTTATGAGGCCCGGATTCACAGCTGACCATGCTCAATGACCCAGCTACCCAAACATTGAACCCAGAGTCACAAACCTAGAGGGATGATAGTTGGTAGATAGATAGATGATAGATAGATAGATAGATAGATAGATAGATAGAAGATACATAGATTATGATGATCATAGATGATAGATAGATGATAGAAGATACATAGATGATGATAGATAGATAGACAGATAAATACATAGATACATAGAAGATACATAGATAGATGATAGATAGATAGATAGATCGATAGAAGATACATAGATGATAGATAGATAGATAGATAGATAGATAGATAGATAGAAGATAGATAGATAGAGGATACATAGATAGATGATAGATAGATAGATAGATAGATAGATAGATAGATAGATGATACATAGATGATACATAGATAGATAGAAGATACACAGATAGATGATAGATAGAAAAATAGATACATAGATACATAGAAGATACATAGATGATAGATAGATGATAGATAGATAGATAGATAGATACATAGATACAGAGAAGATACATAGATAGATGATAGATAAGATACATAAAAGATACATAGATGATAGATAGATACATAGATACATAGATGATAGATACGAAGAGAGATACAATGATGCAACATGAGTCCACTTACCCATGGATTTTTTTTGTATAAATATAGTATTGTACCGCCAATGGATTTTCTCTTCCTTATGATTTTCTTACTAACATTTTCTTTTCTCTACCTTACTTAAAAATTTTTTAAATGTTTACACGTAACATTACAGAGAGACAGAGCACGAGCTGGGGAGAGGCAGAAAGAGAGAGGGAGACACAGAATCCGAAGCAGGCTCCAGGCTCCGAGCTGTCAGCACAGAGCCCAACGTGGGGCTCGAACCCACGACCCGTGAGATCATGACCTGAGCCGAAGTCAGACGCATAAGCGACCGAGCCACTCCAGCTTACTTTATTGTAGGCGTGCAGTACAGGATACATATAACATCCAAAATATGTGTTAATTGACTTATCACTAAGGCCTTCAGTCAATAGTAGGCTACCGGCTGTTAATTTTAGGGGGAGCCAGAAGTTATACATGGATTCCCAGTTGTGCCAGGGATCGGTGCCCCTTACCCCCATGTCGTTCAAAGGTCAACTGTACATAGATGATAGAATTAGACAGCCTAGCTAGAATTTTGGCCTTCCGAAACTGTTTACATTCAGATTGGTCTTCATTTATTGAGGGTAAGCCTTCTCCGGGAGACTCTGTCTGTCCCTTCCTCATCTTCTCTCTCATCTCACCCCCAAACTCTTCCTCTATCTCCCTTCACTGCCCCCTCGCTTAGAAAGTCATCGTACAGGCTTCTTTGTGTTTCAAAGTTTTGGTTTGTCACAGGAGTGCAAACACCCATTTGGAATTACAACTGCATATTTAACCTTAGCTGGTGTTGATTGTAACTATTATTTTGTTTTCTTTATTTTTTTAGTGTTTATATTTTTGAGAGAGAGAGAGAGAGAATGAGGGGGGGAGGGCCAGAGAGAGAGAGACACAGAATCCAAAGCAGGCTCCAGGCTCTGAGCCATCAGCACAGACCCCGATGCAGGGCTCGAACTCACAGACCGCGAGATCATGACCTGAGCTGAAGTCGGATGCTTAACCGAGCCACCCAGGTGCCCCTGTAACTAGTACTTTATAACAATTTTATTATTTCCAAATACTGTGCATATGTGTGCACTTTTATAACACTTTTATTATTTCCAAATACTGTACATATGTGTGCACAATGAGGGCTAACAATAAAATGAACAGCTGTGAGTCTGCCACCCAAAATAAAAGCTAGAACATCACCATCTCCCACCTCTCCTGGTTGGCGGCCCCCTGCCTGCTATTGTCTGTTCATCCGGCTGCCCAACAAACTGACCTTGAGAGGGTACCCTTATTCTGGGCATAGCGCTGGGATAAGCAATACCCTGCAGAGGGTACGGGCCCAGCAGAGACAAAGCAATATTGCTCTGCTCTTGAGTCTTCCCCTTTGGTTTAAGTTGTGTGAATAGCACCGGCTTCTGAATCTCCTCCTTCAAATGCTCAGGGCATTCCTGGCTGAAGAGACACAACATGCCACACTCTCAGGAAAAGAAAGGCATTTTCCTGCACCAGGCAAAGCCATAACTTGGAGAAGAGTGGGGAGGAGGTCAGCCCCACAGCAGGGGCCCCTCCATCAGACCCCAGAGCTGAAAGCAGGGACCGGCTCCCGGGAGGCACTCAGTGAACCTTGCTGGACAAATGATCCTGTGTCCTTTCTCATTACCATCTCCCCAAGGCCGGACCCCAGGCTGCCAAAGAGCGGCTGAGGCATTCGAACCCTGTGGCATGTGCCCCCTGGGGGACACCCTAGGGAAAGCCAGAAGCAGAGCGACTCTGGGAGTCCTTTCCCTGATGCTAGGCCTTCTGTGAGTCTCTCCTGCCTGTACACAACAATCAGAAAGGGGTCATGGGGTATATGGTCTTTTCCAGAAATGTGAGCCCCGGGGAAGCCCGGCTGAGGGCGACGGGGTCTTGAATTCCAACGACGGTGGTGGGATCTATGGCAAACAGATCTGGGAGAAAACAGAGGGGTTCCCGTTGGTTAAATGGATACTTCCAAATATCTGCTCACCCCTAGTTCCCAAGCAGCAGTGAAGAGAGGGGCTCATTCCATTCTCAACGCGGGCAAGTGGCTGCGTCCGTCTGGTGCAGCGCGGATCAGTACGGTCTGAGATCTGACGGCACCTTGCAGTTGTCCTCTAGATGTGTGTTATCATGAAGACATCGCTGCAGAAATCCGTAGATCAGTCAGCAAATCTTGACAGTGAAAAATAATTGGAGGCGCGCCTGGGTGGCTCAGTCGGCTGAGCGTCCGACTTCGGCCCAGGTCGTGATCTCGCGGCTCATGAGTTCGAGCCGCTCGTCGGGCTCTGGGCTGACAGCTCAGAGTCTGGAGCCTGCTTCGGATTCCGTGTCTCCCTCTCGCTCTGCCCCTAACCCACTCGCATTCTGTCTCTGTGTCTCTCATAAATAAACATTAAAAAAATTCTTAAAAATAATAATTGGAGCTACTGCGATCTCTAACTACACGGAGTCTGGGCTGTGGGGAGGCCTCGGTGCCGTAAATATACTCCCCAGGCACTTGCAAGGGCTATTTCTGAGGGCCCCCCAATTTCCTGGGCTGCGCTTATGAATTGCCTATTTACCCAGCGCACGCTGACACGGACATATGGAGGCTTCGCCCTCTGGAGGGGAAGTCTCTGGAACCACACAGAGCTGATGCATAATGGAGCATATGTCTGAAACCCAAGTGAGCGTATCCTATAACGCTGGCCAGCCGACAACAGCTGTGCGTGATAAACCAGGCAAGGGAAGAGCCAGGAAGGGAGGCAGAAGGTGGCGGGGGTGGGGGGGTGGGGAGCAGAGGTATTTGGTGGTATTCTGTCCATTTCCTTAAACGCGGAAAAGACGCGGCCACATCTGGAACGCCCCCACTTCTCTTTCTGGCGTATAGAGTTTCCCAATTTACTGTGAACTGGGCGATGAAAACTGTGATTTATGGCCTTCATTTCGCAGGCGACTGCTGGCTATTGGCTGCCATCGCCTCCCTGACGCTGAATGAAAAAGCTCTGGTTCGAGTCGTCCCCCAGGACCAAAGCTTTGGACCCGGTTATGCCGGGATATTCCACTTCCAGGTAAGAGGGGGCCTTGGCCGGTAGAGCTAGGTCTTTGGGGTCCAACGTGACGCCACCCGCCTCTTCAGCTGCTTGGTAATCCCGGGAGGAATGCGCCCCCATCTGTGGGAAAGCCGCACCCCAAACTGGGCTTTGTCAAGGGCTAACGTCTAAACGCACTCGAAGGACCGCGTTCGGAATATATCCAGTAGAACTTTGGCAAGTCTGCAGGCCCACGCTACAGGTTTTCGTCTTTGGAATATCTTGTGCGTTCAGCATAAATGGCCTAAAACCCTTATACCTCTCAGGGAGTGGATTATTTCTCATATTTTTCTCAAACCGAGAGATTCTCCTTATTGAAGAAGCACAGATTTGGAGAGGTGTGTGAGGGTAAGAAATAGAAACAGAGAGAAGCACTGAGACGTCACCTGCTGGGGTCCCGGCAGGACACGTGTCGCCCCCGTGGGACCCGCGCAGAGCCTCACGTGGGCACGGCCTGCCTGGGAATTGGTTTGCAGTTTTCTTTCCATCCTGTTCCCTCTCCTCTCCCCACCTCTCCCTGTAGTCCCTGTGCAGAGCTGCCCACCCACGGATGCCCGCCTGTCCCTGTGCCTATGTGGGTGACCTCGGGCAGATTTCCTAGGGACCCCGGCCTTCACAAGCTGTCTGGAGAAACAAGGACTGATATCGAGCTCGTGGGGTGTTCACAGACCTAAAAGGATCTGATGAAGGGGGCAGCACGGGGCAGGCATGCATTTCTGTCCCGACACGCCTGGGCCAGCCCCGTCCCCTCCGTCCCCAAGGCCGGCAATCTGAGTTCTGACATGGATGCACTCACACACGTGTGCATGCATGCACACGAATGCATGCGTACACGTATGTGAACATATGCGCTCACACACGTAGCTGGACTCACTTATGGGTACGTGTGTGAACACACAAGAATGCGTGCGTGCGTACATACGGGTGCATGCACACTCACCTGGTGTCGGCACACCTGGCACGAGTGTGCCCCACCACAGCCTCTCTCTGTGTGTGAATGGCCAAAAGAGATCAGTTATAGAGTTTCCGCCCCCGGGCAAAGAGGCAACTCAAGAGGCAGGGACATCCAAGATAACCTGCGATTGGTGGAGAGAGGGACATGGAGAAGCGAGCTGCGCAGGAGCGGAGCAAACCCCACACCACCCCCTTTGCTTGGGAGAGAGGAGCTAACTCGGCCCACCCTGCCGAATGTCCACGTGTGACCCTGGCTTTGATGGGTGGACACTGGGTCTCCAATCCGCTGCCAGCGGTGGGGTGGGATGCTTGGTGGACAAAGTCCAGGGGACCCATCATGGAACCCACGTGTGAGTTTCCTCAAGACCCTAAGGGAGGTTTGGTCTGAGGGAGGAAGTGCCAAGGGAGCCCAGGGTGGGAGAAAGAGCCAAGCCTTTACAGATGGGGCTGGACCTCCCCTGTGCCTCACCCCCATGGTTTCCATCTCCATCTGGCCAACAGTTCTGGCAGCACAGCGAATGGCTGGATGTGGTCATCGATGACCGACTGCCCACCTTCAGGGACCGCCTGATCTTCCTCCACTCGGCCGACCACAGAGAGTTCTGGAGTGCCCTGCTGGAAAAAGCCTATGCCAAGTGAGTGCCCCCTGCAGGGCCAGGCCAAGGGCCAGGCAGGTCCAAGAAGTGGTCTCTATCCCCAGAGCCTTTTCAGAGAGCTTCAATGACCAGGGGACACAGAGTTCACAGGTGTGGCCAACCCTCTTGGGGCTCGGCCAGGCTCAGAGGTGGAAAAGGAAAGTGTGGATAGTTTTCCTGTCATGGCTTCGCTGTGCCCATCCTTGGGCAGAGTGGTGACACACGTCCCTCTTCTCTTCCTGTGTCACGAATCTGGCCTTCCGAAGAGCTGAGAGGGGAGGTGGAAGAAATTCTGGATGTGTTGATGGATCTTGGCTCTCCCAACTTCCCACCGAGCGCTGTTACAGCTCAAACATCTGGGCTGTGGTAAAATTTACCATTTTAATCCTTTTCCAGTATACAGTGCAGTGGCATTCAGTGCCTTCACATTATTGTGCAACCGTCACCTCCAGGGGCCACAGACTGTGCTTTCCAGGGCTGGGTGGGCATAGCTTCCTTCTCGGTGAGCCCAGCACAGGGAAATCCTCCCCCGGCAGCCCTGGAAAAGGCTTTGGGTCAAGAATTCCAGCTGGTAGGAGTCAGTGGAATATGAAGGGTATTCACTCAAAGAGTGAAGAATAAGTTTCCTAAAAAAGAAAATCTGTGTTTGGTTTTTGGTCATTAGAAGAGGCCCAAGATGATTGGGATACACCTCACCAGAAAACATGGACAGGGGACAAATAAACACATGGAAAGATGCTCAACATCATTTGTCACTGGGAAATTGTAAATTACAAACAATAGCGAAATACCACCACACACGTACAGCATCAATTTCTGACAAAGATGTGGGCAACAGGAACTCTCATTCATTGGTGGGGGGAGCCAATGAATGGCCACGGGGGGAGCCATGGTGGCCCAAATGGGTCATCCATTTTGGAAGACAAGTTGGCAGTTTCTTACAAAACTGAACATACTCTTACCTAATGAATCATCAGTCACATTTCTTGGTAGATGAGTCGGGTAAAAAGTCATTTCTACCCAAATGACTTGGATACAAACTTAGGTCCACACAAAAACCTGAACACAAATGTTTTTAGCCCCATTATTTGCAATTGTCAAAGACTGGAAGCAGCCAAGATGTCCTTCAAGATGAATGGGTAAATAAAGGTACTTTCAGGCAATGAAGCATTATTTAGCGATTTAAAAAAATGAGCTATCAAGCCATGAAAAGAAATGGATGAATCTTAAACGCATATTGCAGAGTGAAAGAAGCCAATCTGAACACACGACATATTGTATGATTCCAACTGTATGACATTCTGGAAAAGGCAAAACTATGGAGACAATAAAAAGATCAGTGGTTGCCAGGAGTTCAGGGGGAGGGACAGAGAGGAGTAGGGGTGAATATGTGGAGCACAAAGGATCTTTTTTTTAGGGTGGTGAGACTATTCTGTAGGATACTGTAATAGTAAATACATGATGCCATTCATTTACCAAACCCATAACCCTTTACGGCACAAACAATGAAGCTTAATACAAGAAGATTTAAAAATCATCGAGAAGGATGAAGAATCCCAGGATGAAATGCGGGCTATGCATTTCATCTAACTATATCACAAATTTATGAGACAAACTCACTGGGGGGTAGGACAAAAGGGAGCTAACCTGAGTAACGGTGGAGATGAGTGGGGTCTGTAGGATTAACGGCAAGAGGAATTATACACGAGCGTTCTACTTGGGCTGATAAAGTTGTTTCTCATAGGGACACAAGACAACATTCTGATACCATTATACATATATAATTGTGTGTGTGTGTGTGTGTGTGTGTATGATATATGTGCTATATATGTGAGTATATATATAATACGTATATTATGCATATATACATGTATCATATATATGTTTTGTAATACATATGTTTCATATATAATATATGATACATGTATATAATTGTGAATTGAACAATTAAGGCAGGTGGTCGAGCTAGGTTCCTCACAGTTAGAGAGGAGGTTACAAAGAAGCAAGGGGAGGAGGCTGGAATAATGCATGTTGTCATGGGTTAGGGCTGGCGACTCAGGCTGAACTCACATCTTGTTTGAAAGAGATGGTTCCATAAAGATATATGTATATATACAGGGTCAGTGTATATACATTATTTCCCCACTTTGTCAGCAGAGATGGCCTAGAAAGAATGGCAGCCCCACAGCAACAAGCACTCCTACTTCTCGGGTCTTGGTCTCTAAATACCATTTTCCAGTGAAAGGAACCAAGGCTCCGTGGAGATAAGGCTGATTGTAGGACAGGGGTGGGAAACTCATAAGATGAGCCTAGAGCATCTTGCAGTAGTAAGGAGTGAGAACACGTTTTAGACACACACGCACACACACACGCACACACACACTGATGGGGTTATGTCAAAGGGACCCAGGAGCCAGCTGGAGAAGCTGAAAATAGCCAAACCTAGAACACTGTGAGGAACAAAATAAGTAAAGTTGTATTGGATTATAAGCCAGAGTACGAAGCAAATACCCATGAGTCCATTCTGATATAAACAAACGACTGAATACATAAATTGGAGAAAAGAATAAATCTACCCTATAGAAGAATTGCAAGTCATCTAAGGTTGAGCAAAACTCCCTGCTCCTTAGGTGCATCCTTCCAAAGGGGACGGCGTGGACAGGGGGAGAGAGAGTAACTATCTAGTGGAGAAACCTAACAGGCATGACCTCCCCCAGGTGGTCAAGGCACCATGGGCAGCGATAAGTCATGGTGACACTATGGACCCTGGATGTGACGTGATGAGAAGGACACCTTACTTCTGTGGTCTCCCTCCCCCAAACCCATAACCCCGGTCTAACCAATAGAAAAACAACAGACAGATCCTAATTGAGAGAGATTCTACAAAACACCCGACAGTATTCCTCATAATTGTCAAGGTCATAGAAAGCAGGGAAAGTCCGAAACACTATCACAGCCAAGGAGACATGAGGACTAAGTGTGATGTGATATCTTGGATGGGATATCCTGTTCTTGGAACAGAAGAAGCATATTAGGTAAAAACTAAAGACATAAGAAGAAAGTAAGGACCTTAATAATAACAATGTATGGGTTCAGTCACTGGGAACAAGTATACCACACTAACGTAAGATGTTAACGCTAGGGGAAATTGGGTGGGGGTAGATGGGAACTTTCTGTACTATGTACAATTTTTTCTTTAAATCTCAAACTGTTCTAAATGGGAAAGTTGGTTTTAAAATTCAAGCAGGATGCCTATATGTGTGTGTATGTGTGTGTGTGCACGTATATTAATTATATTATATTATATTAACTTATATTAATATAACTTATTATATTAATAATATTAATAAAAATACAACTAATATTAATAGAAAATATAATAATATTAATATAAATTTATATACAATATATAAGCAGGCATAGGGCTTTACCTTATATGAATTTATATTAATAAAACTCATATTCATAAAAAATACAACTATGAGAAAAAAGGTTGGGATTATGCAAGACCAGAAAGGAAGAAAAAGATCTTCAACTTTGTCTCAGGTCTACATATAGCTGACACCTTTATGGTCAAGCCCTGTTGTGTGTAAGATGAGAGAGAAGGAGGGAGGGAGAGAGGGGAGGAGAGAGAGAGAGAGAGAGAGAGAGAGACTCATTTAAACCTCACAGCAGTCCCGGGAGGGAGCATACACCACCCATCACCCCCATTTTGCAAATAAACTGAAGCATTGGGTAAAGGAGGTGTCCCCAGAGCGCTCAGCTTGTACATTGTGGATCCAGCCCTTGAACCTGCAGCCGGTCAGAGTCCACGCCCTTTACCACCACAGCCAACTGCCTGTCTCACAGAGAGCCTGGATCCTTGGAGCTCCAGGTAAAGCCCTATGCCTGCTTTCCATCTTCCTTCCCCATCACCCAGCCAGGGCAACGCCCTGAACGACGGGCCCTACAAGTTAGAAAAATCTTTGGCCAAGGGGCGCCACCTGGTGGTCTTCCTGGTTCCCTGCAACGGTGTCCGTGCTTCCTTGCCGCCCTTACAGGCTGAGCGGTAGCTACGAGGCTCTGAAGGGAGGCAGCGCCATCGAGGCCATGGAAGACTTCACCGGGGGTGTAGCAGAGACCTTTGCAACTAAAGAGGCTCCAGAGAACTTCTATGAGATTCTGGAGAAGGCCTTGAAGAGGGGCTCTCTCGTGGGCTGCTCCATTGATGTAAGTCGTTCATTGGCTTGTTCACATGCACCCCCCCCCCCCCCCGCTGCCCTGGGGCTGGGGATCTGGGCCAGCTGCCCTGGCCCCGTGTGAGGAAGAACATAACTTTCAGGCAGTGGGAGGGCGGTGTCAATGTTTATTTTCATTAAAACAGAGGCTTTAATTTCATGTTTTCCAAATTACAAAGTTGGGGTGTACTTACTGTAGCCAGTGGGACAATCGTGCGATCTATAAAGGCAAATCCCTATCTCCCTCCCCAAGTCCCAGCCCTGTGACACCGGGTGTGTGCCCTTCACGCCCCGCTCTTCTTCGTACACACAGGCATGCACATACATACACAACCACAGCAGAAGTTTAGTTTGGTTTTACTAAATGGAATCTTACTTCATACGTGCCTGAATTTTTTTTTTTTTTTGCTTCGTATATCATTAAAAAATTCATATCTGTAGATAGGACTCTGACAGTATTTCTCCAATGTCTTCATGCGTGCAAACACACACACATATACTTTTATCCCAGCTAGTTATTAGAGTCCTGTTCAAGCTTTCTGTCTCCTCTTGGGTCGACCTTGGGAATGTATTCTTTGCTACTAAATTATCCATTTCGTCTTCGCTTTCAGGCGTGTGACATAGGGTTGTCTACTGTTAAATGCCGGCTATCGTCTCTTGGGTGTATGGGATCTTCTATCTTGTGCCGTGCTGCATGATGGGGGCGGTCAGGTTGTTCTGTTTGGGGGCAAAAAGTGAACTTGTGGCGGGATTCAGGGTCTCCTCACCCCGGCGCGAGGCTATGCTTCAGGCACATGGCTCGAAGGGGCCAGCCCCGGCCTGGAGCTCGGTCTGGGCAGGGAGGGAAGGGTTAAGGTCCCCAATGGGTCCAACGGTGCTCTTTTCATGTTCCAGATCCGAAATGCTACAGAGTCTGAAGCCCGGACACCTTTTGGTCTCATTAAGGGCCATGCCTACAGTGTGACAGGAATTGACCAGGTAGGCGATGTGAACCCCTGTGGACAGGGTATAGGAATAGCCTCGGTCGTGCTAGTCCCTTATACTTATTTAGTGCGTCACATTATATATATTTCTTCTTTTTAACATGGTTCCTCAGACACTTAGGCAAAACGTTTTGGAGGATGCATGCCCAGAGGTGGGATTGCGGGATCTGAGGCATGTACTTAATTGCCTAAATAGTGCCAGATTACTCTCCAGAATGGTCGCAACACGCTACGATTCCACCAGTACACGTGTCAAATTGTCCCCTCCTCAAATTTCTGCCAACAGCCGGTCTTTGCATTTTGCCAAACAAACGGGTATGAGGTGATCTTGCATCATTGTTTTAATTTGTATGTATCCGACTGCCAATGACTTCAAGGGTTTTAAAATTTTGTTTTTTCTGTTTTTAATTTAAATTTTAGTTAACATACCGTGCAATATTGGTTTCAGGAGTAGAATGCGGTGATTCCTCACTTACATACAACACCCAGTGCTCATCACAAGTGCCCTCCTTAATATCCCTCACCCATCTGGCCCATCCCCTCCCTCCCTCCCTCCATCAACCCTCAGCTTGTTCTCTGTCGTTAAGAGTATGATCTCGTTAAGAGTACCCCTCCCATATTTTCATGTTTTGTTTCTTAAATTCCACATATGAGCGAACTCATATAGTATTTGTCTTTCTCCGAGTGACCTATTTCACTTAGTATAATACACTCTAGCTCCGTCCACATCGTTGCACATGACAAGATTTCCTTCTTTTTGATGACTGAATAATATTCCATTATACATATCACATCTTCTTTATCCATTCATCAGCCGATGGGCATTTGGGCTCTCTCCATAGTTTGGCTATTGTTGATAGTGCTGCTATAAACATTGGGGTGCATGTACACCTTCCAATCTGTATTTTTCTATCCTTTGGTTAAATACCTAATCGTGCAATTGCTGGATCATATGTCAGTTCTATTTTCACTTTTTTGAGGAACCTCCATACTGTTTCCCAGAGTGGCTGCTCTGGTTTGCTTCCCACCGACAGCGCAAGAGGGTTCCCGTTTCTCCGCCTCCTCGCCAACACCTGTTGTTTCTTGTGTGGTTAATTTTAGCCACTCTGGCAAGTGTGAGGTGACGTCTCATTGTGGTTTTGATTTGTATTTCCCTGATGAGGACTCCAGGTTTTTTTTTTTTCTTTTTCGGGATGGTTTTCTTTTTCAGGGGTCCTTGTGGTTCCATGCAAATTGTAGGATTGTTTATTCTAGCGCTGCAAAAAATGCTGGTGTTATTTTGATAGGGATTGCATTAAATGTGTAGATTGCTTTGGGTAGTATTGACATGTTAACAATTTGTTTTTCCAATCCATGAGCATGGAGTACTTTTCCATTTCTTTGTGTCCTCTTCAGTTTCTTGCATAAGTCTTCTACAGTTTTCAGAGGAAAGATCTTTTGCCCCTTTAGTTGGGTTGATTCCTAGGTATCTTACCGGTTTTGGTGCAATTGCAATTGGGGTTGATTCCTTTGATTTCTTTTTCTGCTGCTTCATTATTGGTGTACAGAAATGCGACACATTTCTGTAGTTGATTTTATATCCTGCAACTGCTGAATTCATGTATGAGTTCTAGTGATTTTTTGGCGGAGTCTTTCAGGTTTTCTACGTAGAGTATCATGTTGTCTGCAAATAATGAAAGTTTGATTTCTTCCACGCCGACTTGGATGCGTTTTATTTCTTTTTGTTGGCTGGTTGCTGTAGTTAAGACTTTCAGTACTACGTTAAATAGTAACAGTGAGAGTGGACATCCTTGTCTTGTTCCTGACCGTAGGGGAAAGGCTCTCAACTTTTCCCCATTGAGGATGATATTAGCTGTGGGTCTTTCATATGTGGCCTTTATGATGTTGAGATATGTTCCATCTATCCCTACTTTGTTGAGGGTTTTTATCAAGAATGGATGCTGTATTTTGCAAGTGCTTTTTCTGCATCTATTGACAGGATCATATGGTTCTTATTTCTTATACTTTTTTTTATTAATGTGGTGTATCCTACTGATTGATTTGTGAATCTTGAAGCAACCCTCAGGGCATCACAGTCTAAACCACACTTTCAGATATTTTTGAGGATGTCTCATCTAAAGGATGAGAGACAGCTGGAATTCAAAAGAGCAAAACAGGAGAGAGAAGGAGAGAGAGAGAGAGGGAGAGAGAGAGAGAGAGAGAAACATGTGATTCCACCAGAGTTAACGACCTTGTTTAGCTGGTGTGGGAGCCTGGGCTTTGTTTTTTCTTTTTTTTCTTCCCTAATTCTACCAGTCTTGTACGGGTCATATTTCTCTAGAGAAACAGAACCAATAAGATATAGATAGATGAGGGGTGCCTGGGTGGCTGAGTCGGTTAAGTGCCCAACTCTTGATCTTGGCTCAGGTCATGATCTTACAGTCTGTGCTGACAGTACAGAGCCTGCTTGGGATTCTCTCTCTCCCTCTCTCTGCCCCTCCCCAGCTCATAGTCTGTCTCTCTCCTTCTCTCTCTCTCTCTCTCTTAAAATATACTTTAAAAATAATTTTAAAATATAGATAGATGATAGATAGATAGATAGATAATGAGGAATTGGGTCACATGATTATGGAGTCTGAGAAGTCCTGTGATCTGCCATTTGTAAGCTGGGGATGATGTTCTGGCCCAAGTGCAAAAGACTGAGAACCAGGAGAACCAAGGGTACATGTCCTGCTCTCAGAGCAAAAGAGGACCAAAGTCCAAGCTCAGCAGTTAGACACAGAGTGAATTCTCCCCTTCTTCCACCTTCTGTAGTTCTATTCAGACCTTCAGTTGATCAGATGAGGTCCACCCACACTGGGGAGGGCCATCTGCTTGACTCAGTCTACCTATTCTAATCTCCTCTAGAAACACCCTCACAGACACACCCAAAATGGTGTATAACCAAATATCTGGGCACCAGTGGCCAAGTCAGGGTGACGCATAAAATTAACCTTCAAAAGTCCTATTCTCTGCAGCTATAGTCCAGGGTGGAACTGATTCCCGGGGGCTTCCAGACCCACATGCACACCACCCTGACTTCTAGTGAGTGCTTGGTTTGGACAAGCGCTCCTGGGGGGACACGTGGGAAAGAGAAGCAAAGGGGATGACCTGGAAGAGGAGGACAAGAAGCCAAGGGCTGTATCCTCTCAGGTTCAAGTTCAACGAAGTCCGAAGGCTTGTCTTTGCCCACTTCATGCTTCTGTTGGACAAGTCTCAAACCCGGTTTGTAGAGGACACCAGCACTTCTGGTCTCCTCCTGTTGCCACCCATGTTTTGAGAAACCCAGTCTAGAGGAGTGGGGAGTAAGGAGTGCAGAAGGAAGCCAGTCCTTCCTCCTCACCAGGGGATACAGTTGCATTCTTTAGAATTAAAACTATTTGCAAAGTGTTCTTACCTCCTCCTTCCCACCCATAATGCCTTGCCAATCACTCACTTGGGTAGGCAGGTGGTTTTTTTCTTTTTGGCAGGTGATTTTTAATGTTACATCTTCCAAATATTATTTTAAGGAATAGAAACCTTTCATCACATCTGTTCAGTTGTTTTTCCTTTCTCTCCACCAATAAGGGATTTACCTTCCGTGAACAATTCTCTTCATGGACATCTTAAATGATGAGCTGCGGGCTGCATCTTGGACCCTGGAGAGGCTACACTAACTTAATTTTTACACGCCAAAAATATAATTTGTGCCCAGTGCATGAGGGTAAAGAGTTTTGAGCTCAAATTTCTGGTTCACTGATGAACAAAAGTCTTTTACTTCTACTCTCTTTCCTCTGAAATCTTTCTAAATGCACTGGCCCTCTCTCCTGGTCCAGGGCAGAGCATGAAGGCCATGACTGCATCATCCTTCTTTACTGGCCCAAGGGTTCTCCATATGGACAGCAGAAATCTTCACCTGACACCTGAAAGTGGGGGGAGATTGGATTCAGAAGGCTTGCAAGTGGTTTTTGTTTATTCATTGTTTACATTTCCTGTGTGTGCTTGCATACTTTTCACTGATCCATGAGTAAGATGTTAAGGATGAAGAAAACTCACTCCATGAGTACTTCTGGCCACTCTTCTTTACCGCTGGCTGTGCTAGACGCTGAGGGTACACTGATAAATAAGACTTGGTCTCCGCGTCTAGGGAGATTCCAGTCCAGAGAGAAAACTCGTTCATCTGAAGATTCATGTGGACTAGTTTCTTGTTATTTATAACTCTATGTTATTTCCCAGCTGCAGTGCAACCATCGTGGGTGACTGGTATAACGGTGTTGGTAACGCTAGCCATTATGTTCACTAGGAACTAGAAAATTCCAAGGGCCAGTGAAGAATTGATGAGTTTCGGGGCGCCTGGGTGGCTCAGTCACCAGAGCAGCAGACTCGGACTCAGGTCATGATCTCGCGGTTGACAAGTTGGAGCCCCGCACCGGGGTCTGTGCTGACAGCTTTGGATTCTGTCTCCCTCTCTCTCTGCCCCTCCCCCACTCATGCTCTGTCTCTCTCTGTCTCAAAAATGAATATAAACATTTAAAAATGAAAAAAAGAAAAGAATTGATGAGTTTGGACATGGCTTTAGCGTGTCACAGTCAAGAGGCTTTCAGTAAATCCAGCCCAGGCTGGAGGTGAAGCACTCTGAGGTTCACATGTGAATATATAATCTCCCTGGTGTTTTTCCCCTCCAGGTAAACTTCCAAGGCCGGAACGTGGAGCTCATCAGAGTCCGGAACCCTTGGGGCCAGGTTGAGTGGAACGGGTCCTGGAGTGACAGGTCAGTCCCCACCTCCTTGCCTTCTGGGGCACAGAGGGGCCAGCACTGGTTTGTGCAGACGTATGAAGAAGGGGCCCTTGGTCTACAGCTCCCAGTTCCCTCCTGACTCTTGTTCAGGGTCCTGCTTCTGGGTGGCCTTACTTCCTCCCTTTTTAGCCCTCTGGTCCATCATGTAGTCAAAATGGAACACCCTTATAATGGCTTAAAATTTTTTTTTAATGTTTATTTATTTTTGAGAGAGAGAGAGAGAGAGAGAGAGTGTGGGGGAGGGGCAGAGAGAGAGGGAGACACAGAATCTGAAGCAGGCTCCAGGTTCTGAGCCATCAGCACAGAACCCACAAACTGCGAGATCAAGATCTGAGCCAAAGTCGGTCGCTTAACCGAATGAGCCACCCAGGTGCCCCTAATGTCTTTTTAAACTTTCCAATAATTGTATTTATGTCAGTGGATGTATTCCCTCCCATGGGAATAGTTCCTATCCCTATGGTATTGTGAAAGGCTTGATCTCCAATTATGGTAGCTTTGATATTTGGTATGTATGTGTTTTGGGTGGGGGTGGGGGTGGCCATGAGTATTTTGGGTGTGAGGATCCCTGAAATATCACCAGGCAGGTCATTCCTGGGTTCTCTCTCATTGGTCAGTGACCACCGGCCAGAGGCCCGGTGGCCCAGTGGAGAGACAGAGGAAGCGCGACAGGAAGTTCATCCATTACAGAGCAGTCAGCCAGGGTTCTTTATTTGGTCCCCAGTTATAAAGAAAGTTTTGTTTTGCAGGTGTGTGTCCCCTCCTTGTCCCTCGGGAAGCGGCCCAGGTGACGGGGACCAGGGAATGTTTAGATATGCTTGGGCGGGGCCCACCCTGGCCCTGCCCCTGCCGTCTTGGGGTCCTGCTGTCCCAGCCCCGCCCGCTCATGGCTCGTGGGGCCCTGGGGAGACCTCCGGCAAGTCTCGAACCTGAATAGATCTTGAGCAAGTCTTGAACCTGAATAGATCTTGAGCTCGTGTTTGTCCTCTGCTCGCAACAAAGCCACCGCGGCACAGCCATCAGCGCGTCTGTGTCTCCGTTAACCTGACTCCAGCCCGAGGGCACAGCACACGCCCCCGCGGAGGCCAGGCCTCCCATGGCTGCTCTTGTCCCCCTTACCTGCCGCCCGGTTCGGCTCCTGCCTCCTCAGAGCCCGGGAGCTGTGGCCTAGATGGACTCACACCCGAGCAGCATCACAGGAGGGAAGAGAGCGGCCTCCCTCTCCTGGCAGAAATGGAAAGCACAGAAATACTGAAACCCAAATGAATGAGACGGCTTCCTATCCTGCGTAGGCTCATTGCGTCCTTCAGTTTAGAGAACACGCGGTGTTAAAGAGCGAGGGGCCCCTTTCTCCTTCTGTGAAACACGCAGAGGGTGAAATAAGGAGAGTGCATTTACTGGGGTCAAGGCCGGACGCTCCCGCTCAGCCTTGGGGTGATGGAGGGCAGGTCCCCATCCTGATTCCTGATCCTGACCCCCTGTTACGACGGAAGTGCTGAAAGTGCTCCTTAGCCAGTCTGCCCGCTATCGGAGGGGTGAGCCCCGTGGAAGGTAATGGTTCAAAAAGAAAATATTGGCTCTTAGTTCTGCTGGTCCAACCCTGTTTGGACCTGGAGAGGGGCTCCTTCCTCCTGGGAGGGGCCCATGCAGGGCGTGGGTGAGGTGGGCAGCCTTGGCTGAGCACCACAGTGGTGGTGACTCGGCCTGAACTCTCTGGGGGGTAGCTGCAGGGGTCGCGGAGACACAGCGAACTCGGAGGCCAGGTGGAACTCTTGGGTTTGGAGGCGGGTGGTGACGGCTGCCCACCTGGGTGCCCTGGTCCACGAAATGGGCCCGTGAACCTCACAGATCCCCACCTGGCCTCCTAGCACAGTCACGTAAAGAAGGTGTTTGACGTGTGGAATCTCAAGCCCAGGTGAACATAAGGCATTATGACCATCACTTGTCAAAACGTCGCTTACAGATGAAGAGGCGAGGCCAGGAGATGCTCCCAGGCACGCATTTCAGTCCACTTGTGGCTTCCAGTAGGAAGTTTCTGCTACCCTGCTGGTGTTCAACATCCTAGGACGGCCCCATGAGAATCCCCCATGGAGGAGGTTCAAATGACCCCAAGGGCCTTTTCCATCGGCTGCTTTTGGACGTTCACTTTTCAACCAGCCTCCAGCTCCCCTGGGACATTTCTGGGGCCCAGGGAGCAGTCACTGACCGGGACCATTCCCCACATGGCCGCATACCCTGCCTCCCCAGGAGGGACACTCCTCTCCACCAAGGCCAGTGTTGTTTCGGCTGCTGCGCAAGACCCTCCACCTAAAGCCTGACTTTGCTTATCCCTAGTTCCTCCGAGTGGCTTTCGGTCGGGGCAGCTGAGCAGAAGCGCCTGTGTCACACCTCTCTCGACGACGGGGAATTCTGGTACAGTGCTGGCCTGTTTTCCTTTCTGTATTAACGACATAACGGGTATGAGAGCCCCCTATGGCCCTTGGCTTACTTGCATGTTTCCCTTGTCTGTCTCTGTTTGATTTCTCTGGTAAAGCAAATGCATCTGTCTCAACCCCCTCGCATTCACCCAGGTTGGCAGAGAATTTGATTTGTACGTGCGGCCAAGCCTGGGTCTGCAGCCCGGCACCCCTCCCCCGAACTACCCATCATCCGAGTTTGCACCATGAATTTGAAGGCAGGCAGCCCCACTGCTCCCAGGGGCTACTCCTTGGCCCCACTTGATGACAAGGACCCCTGAAGGCAGCGACCTTGAGAGCTGAATATAGACTGAAGTGGGCTGAATATAGACTGAAGTCCTAATCTGAACTTTCCACAGGGTGGAATCTCTTTGCGTAACTGAAAGGTTTTAACGTTTATTTATTTATTTATTTAGAGAGAGAGCACGCACAAGTGGGGGAGAGGCAGAGAGAGAGAGGGAGAGAGAGAATCCCGAGATGAGCGCATGTCAGATCGAGAGAGCCCGAAGCGTGGTTTTCAACTCAAACTGCGGTGACAGGGTATGAGCCATCAGAGCTCGCAAACAGATGTGACGCTACCGCTAGCCTACTCCCCTCTCTTAATCTGAAAGTGTGACTCTTCATCTCTTAAGAAGTTTTTTAACATATTTCCTGTGGGGATTAGACAGTATTGGTTTTCCTTTAAGACCACAAATCTCGGATTTCTAGTTATTCCGGAGCTAAAACTGTCACCTCTTACCTGAGTGATCCCTTTTTTTTTTACATACCTTCTTAAACACCCTAAGCAAAAACCGGTATGTATGAATATTCCAGCTTTTTCCATTCTCTTCCCCTGGAGCACAGCCTCTGTCTTCCATATTTTTAGTTTTTTTTTAATTTATTTTTTTAACGTTTATTTATTTTTATTTGAGAGAGAGAGACAGAAAGGGAACGGGGAGGCCAGAGAGAGGAGCATGCTGGGCAGGCTCCAGGCTCTGAGCTGTCAGCACAGAGCCTGACGCAGGGCCTGTCAAACCATGGGATCACTTGGTGAGATCATGACTTGGAGTCAAGCTGTCAAGTAACCCTTCACTTCGAGCCACCCAGGCGCCCCTATTTTTACAGTTTTAATAAATATATTGCCATTCCTAACATGAATATCCATTTTCTATCTCCAATATGTCCTTGAAACCTGCCCATATGCTAAGCTGATATCACATATTTTAGAATTCGGTCATGGCAGCTCTATGCTTCAAGGCACAAATGACTTAGGGTAACACCAGCTGCTGTCACAAATAGACTCAAGATGTATAAAGACTCAAATGCAATACAGTTTATCTCTCACTCATTATAACAGTCCAGGAAGACACCCTTATTCTGTGGGTGGCCCTTTCTGTGCAGTGATTCAGGAACCCAAGCCCCTTCTTCTGTATGGCTCCCCCCTCCCCTGGGGTCACACAGTCACCTGCAGGAAGCCAGCAGAAGAGGAAAAACAGGAAAGGTTGGAGAAGACACCCCCACTTCCAACAGCCTTGACCCACACAACACTGCTTACACCCCACTCTAGATGGAAGGAATGGGTTGCAGTCCTTGGCCCCATTTTGATGGGTGAACTTTGGTGGCCTGCTTCAGGAACCATGAGGTCATGAGTCAAAGAAATTTGTGGAAAACGCGTAGGATCCACAAGCTTGAGAGATTAACAAGCCATTCAATTGGAAATTAGAGATGCATTTACCTTGAATTTTGAGTACAGAGGCTCTGGGTTTTCCTTACCTTTGTGCATTTTCTGTCTGCCCACACCTGAGTCTTGAGGACAGATGCAGACACTCACTAGTGGTCGGTTAGATGATTAAGCGATTGAGTGGATCATGGCATCACCATCACCTCCTACGCCTTGGTGTCTCTCCACCTTGTTGTAGGATGGCGTTTAGGGACTTCAAGACCCACTTTGACAAGGTAGAAATCTGCAACCTGACTCCTGACGCCCTGGAGGAGGATGCTGTCCACAAATGGGAGGTGACGGTCCATCAAGGAAGCTGGGTGCGGGGCTCCACCGCCGGGGGCTGCCGCAATTTTCTAGGTTGGTCGTCCACCTGTCACTCTCTGTCATTGCCAAATGTCCAGTCCAACCTGGGGTACGTCAGTGGATCAGGGCCAGGACCCTGGAGAAAGCCTGAAGTGTAGAGTTTAGACAGTAGGATTTCAGAGATAGCCGGTGAGGGCTGCAAAGAAGGAGCAGGAAGTTGGATAAGAATTGCTCAAGGAAACTCTCTTGTTTTCCAAATTAGGTTATTTTCCATCACAAATAATAGAAAACACAACTCACGCTAGTTTAGCAATAAAGAGGGATTTTTCCCCTACATAACTGAAAAATTCAGAGGAGAAGCGGGGTGGCCTTCAGGCATAGTTCTGTCAACGCATTGGTTTGTAATCCTCTGCTCTGCCCTCTTCCTTCTGTTGACTTTTTCCTCAGTCTGGATTTCTTGACAGTCACAGGAGGGCTGGCAGCAGCATTCAGGGCTTCCTGAGCCCTCGTTTGCATGAACAGTGAGAGCTCCTGAGGGTCATCCAACAGTGGTCCTCAACTCCCTTCTACTGGGAATTCCTTGAGCCCATATTGCCTGGTGAATGCTACACACTGGTTGGCTTTGTTCCAGTTGTCTGAGGCAACAGGGGTGAACGTAAATCACTCAGTGTTCACCCTTGGAGCCGGAGTGGGGTGGATTCTGTTCCAATTGCACAACTCCAAGGGCACCACACTCTCCTTTGAAATACCACATGGACAAAATAAGATGGAAGGAACTGTAGTTGAGTAGACCCAGAAGAATGTCTTTTAAAAGTTCTGTGGGAAATGGTTCAAGAGAAGGTGGAAATGAAAAGGGAGAGCACTTGGCATTCTCACTGGGATTATGGGAAGTAGGGCACGAAGGCCATCAGAACAGGGAGAGAAGAAATGAATGACTTTCTCGGGTTTGGGAGGTTGTGGTGGGGGTGGATGGTGCGTGCGTGTGTGTGTGTGTGTGTGTGTGTGTGTGTGTGTAGGGGGGTGTCCTTTGTGTTTTTCTAAAGGAAGGCGAAATAATTCACTTCTTTCAATGGCAGATACCTTCTGGACCAATCCACAGATAAAACTGTCCTTGATTGAGAAAGATGAGGGGCAGGAGGACTGCACTTTCCTTGTAGCCCTGATGCAGAAAGATCGAAGGAAACTCAAGAGGTTTGGTGCCGACATGCTGACCATTGGCTATGCCATTTACCAGGTGGGTAGGAACCGAGCTGAGCTTTAGAGACCACCACCTACATGCTGGATTCTCAGCCACATGCCCGAGACTCAATGGTCAGTCCCCAAACTGTGTCCAAATACCCAAGACTAATGGCCCTCCTTATAGAACCACCCTCTTACGTTCCCACTGCAGAGCCCCCGCAAAGACGAACACCTGAACAAAGACTTCTTCAGGTACCATGCTTCCCAGGCCAGAAGCAAAACGTTCATCAACCTGAGAGAAGTCTCCGACCGCTTCCAGCTGCCCCCTGGGGAGTATATCCTGATACCCAGCACTTTTGAGCCCCATCAGGAAGCTGATTTCTGCCTGAGGATCTTTACGGAGAAGAAAATTATCACCCAGTGAGTAACAGGTTCAAGAATCCCTCTTCATTTAGTGGTTCAATCCCCGAGAAGCCACCAGGGGACTGTTGGAGCCTTGACCCCTTTCTTCTCTTCTCCACGACACACCTGAGAAAGCAGGCAGGAAGGTCTCTTCACCCATTTGCAAAGTGGGATACATTTCTATTTTGGTTCTGCTCCATCCTTCCCTCAAACAGGCCACTGAAAAGCTGCCCTCTCCAACCACTTCCAGAATCATGCTCACCAGACCCCCTCGGGTGGAGCGCTTCATTTTCCAAACCCTATGTCTAAGAAGCTTCTGGAGTGGGACCCACATTTAGAAATGCTAGGACTTATTTCTGAGCAAAGTGAAGGGGGGTGGCTATTACAATGACCAGTTCCTTCTAGAACAGGTTTCTAGAAAGTTTCTAGCACGACCTGCTCTTTCAGCGTCAGTTAATAAATATTGCCAAGTTGTTTGGGGTCGTCGGTCTCAGCCTAGGCACAGTGATGCCATCAGCTAGGAACATCTGAGGGCACTCACCTGGGCCTGTACTCCCTGTGGCAAGCCCCCCCAGACGGTTCCCCAGCTGGAGCCAACGTTGAGGGCAGACGCATCTCAGCAATGACCCAGGGAACTTGGAAAGGACAAGGTTTATTGCTCACAGGTTCTGGAAGATACACAGCACCCCTGGAGTCACACAGCAATATCTTGAGGGGAGAGAGAGAGAGAGAGAGAGAGAGAGCGTGCGCACAGGCCTGGGGTTCTGCCTTTATTGGGGTCGAGGGTAGGAGCCTAGAGTTTCAAAAGGGTCACTATTGGTGAATTAAAATGCTTGAAGGCAAAGGAAGCAGTGGGTCAAATGGTCTACCGGAGCTTTCTAAAAAAAGGGGCAACCTCATGGGTGGGGTAGCTGGGCTTTTTATCTAGCCATGTCGCTCGCGATGTGTTTATTTGAGATGAGGGTCTTTGAAATGGGTGCCTCGACAGTCCAGGACGCAATGTCAGGCACTTACAATCACCAAAGCCAATGGTCAAGTGCTTACCTTACCCAAGTCTGCCCTCCATTTTGTACACCCAACTTTCTGCCGCCTCCCCTTTGCAGCGTCTTAGCAAAAAATTAGACCGTATCAGATACTTCTAAGAAAAAATTTCCCATTGCTGCCCTTTTCGCCATCAGGGCGACGTTCTAGAGGCATTCGAGGGATCGCAGAGAATTCTGTATTTGAGCTAGATGCACCCCCCACTGAGGACCGACCTGAGAAAACAAGATGGAGTCAGTGGTGACTTCGTGGCCTCCGGTTTTATCTTGTGTTTCGTGGCATGGAGTTGGACTGGTGGCGGGCGTTGAGAATACTCTCGGTTCTCAAGTCTGGCTGGGTTTCCCGAGCTGATTACAAAAGGCGTAGTTCTTTCCCATCAGCTAAATAGGGGCAATAAGATCTTAAATTTTTTTAAAAAATCCTGCTGGAGAGCTGTCCTCCAGCCTTCTCCCAGATGCCAGTGCAAGCTGAGGGTACATTTCCCCGTGTCTGTTCACGCAAGAGCACCTGTACAAGAGGCGTGAAGATGGGCGATTTTTGTGGGCAGCCGTAACAAGAGAGGGAAACCAGGCTGTGCCCATCCCACATTTTATGCTCCCTGCCCCAACAGTGGGGTGAGATCAGAGCCCGGGCATTCATAGAAGGCTCACACATAGCAGAGGTAGGGTCCATACTCACGTTTGCCCTGAACACAGTACTTTAACTTTCTTTTTAAATATTTATTTATTTTTGAGAGACAGAGAGAGACAAAGTGTGAGCAGAGAAGGGGTAGAGAGAGAGAGAGAGGGAGACTCAGAATCCAAAGCAGGCTCCAGGCTCCGAGCCGTCAGCACAGAGCCTGACGTGGGGCTCGAACTCATGAACCGTGAGATCATGACCTGAGCCGAAGTCGGATGCTTAACCGACTGAGCCACCCAGGGGCCTCCAAACGAAGTACTTTTGTCTGCTGTGATCTTGAGCATACACACCAGCTCTGTAGCTCAGTAACTGAAGAACCACAGTGACCTCTACTGCCATTGGCCTCGTGCTCTTGAGAGGATCTTAAACAATTTAAAAAGTTCTGAAAGTGTTCTCTTGTGCATGCCCAGGGGATGGCCGGGACCCCAAGTGGGTCAGGAGTCTGGCCTCCTTGGTCGCTCTTATCTGCAAAGTCCCACTAATTTAAATTAGTCCTTCCAGACTGTTCCCTGAAGAGCCTTCACAAGGACTCAGTCTGCAGTTCCTAATGCTACAGGCAGTGGCCAGTTCTGCCCACCCCGCAATCTGGGCTCCATTTTAATGTTTGATTATGGGTCTTCCCTCTGAATTTTTAGCAGTTTTTCTTGGGGAGTGCTTCGAGTTTCCTCTGTAAGATTGGATTCTTCCAAATGTTTTCGTCTCACTGAAAGCTGAAGCCCCCTCCTGCTGCCGATATTATTGCTTTCCAAACACTATCGGTTCCCCTAAATATGTGAACAGCAAAATAAACCTTTCCATTAGTTTTCCTCTTTTCCCCAAACATAGGCACGTACACACACAGCCCAACCCTCACTTCATAAATATCCCTTGCGAAAGCACATCCAGGAAACGGGGTGGTAGCTGGTAGTTTCTTTTACTTCTAGAAGTCCAGGATTTACGAGTTCTCCTTGGCTGATGGCTACACTGCCTCCCTCTCATTTTCATGCTGGGCAGGGTCTGAGTGATAGGGGAGAGAGAGGGAGGTCAACGCAGGGGGTCTGCAGACCCTGTGACACATAAACATCATGGAAAAAGAAGGGCTTCAATGGGCCAGGGCCTTCCAAGCCCTCTGGGGCCCCGTTAGTGCTGCAGATCCTAGGGAGGAAGTGAATCCACAAGTGAGTCGGTGTATTTTCTGCCCCCCTCCCCGCCCCACCCAGGGACATGGATGGAGATGTGAACATTGACCTTCCCGAGGTGAGCCTTCTCATGTTACTCTGGAGGGTGGGATTCAGTGTCTGTCCTGAAAGCTTCCTTCAGTCACAGCATCATTCAAAACTTTGGAGTTTGGGGAGTGTCTTATCTGCGATCAGGTAAGTACCTCGATTCTAACCTCCTGGAGAAGAGGCTTTGTACCTTCTAAGTCTTTCGTATCGCACCAGGACCAGGCACGGGGACGAGGTACGTGCCCGGAAGGAAGCTCTGTTTGGACCGATCTCTCTCTGTGCTGACCAACTCGCTCTGTTCCCTGAGAGGTGGCTGCTGCCTCCCAAGGGCATGGATTATCTTTAAAGCGCGTTCAATTTAAGAAAAATAAGCGATAAGAGGCAAACGAGAGTAGCTGGTGGATTCTTTTACAGCGGACTTAGGGCAACACGTTACTTCTTCCTGACGATACGTGTGTGGGGAGGGGGAGAGGGAGGGGCGGGTTTTATACTTGTCCAAGGGCTCTAAGACTTTCGAGAGGTGCTGAGGTGTAGCCGGAACAGTCTGACGCTTCCCAAGTCAGCTCAGATCCGCACAGGACAAAACACCCAAAACGTTTACTGAGCTCTTTCCACGCACGAGGCCCTGGGCTCCCGGCTAGAGACAGACTCCTGCCCTCGAAGAGTTTACCACCTGTCAACACAGATGGTGAAGCAAGTAAGAATCAAGCAGTCAAGAGCGGTGAGGGTCAGACAGGGGGCTGTGACCATCCCGGCCGGAACCCCAACTCGGTCAGGATTCTGGCCTCCTTTGTCGCTCTTACCTGCAAAGCCCCACTAATTAGTCCTTCCAGACTCTCCCTCTCAAGAGCCGTCGCAAGGAATCAGGCTGCTGTTCCTAATGCCACAGACGGTGGCCAGTTCTGTCCCCCACCCCCACCCCGCCCCACACAGCAGCAAGGTCCCAGCGTATCCCACGGGGCCACACTGTCTCCAGGGCGGGCCTCTTTTTTTTCTTGCTATCTCTTTGGGAAAGCAAATGCCAAGTTCCTTTCTCGTGGGGCCCAACGTGAGTTCCTCCGGTTGCTTTTTTAGCCTCCGAAGCCGACTCCAGCTGGCCAGGAGACAGAGGAGCAACTCCAGTTCCGGGCCCTGTTTGAACAAGTTGCCGGCGAGGTAGGGCTGGCCGCAAGCTGCACTCGGCCTTGATCCTCTGCAGAGCTCAGGGGCCTGGTTTCCTCCACCTAGGGATGCAGCAGGGTGCTGGTCAGCAACGCCTCCCGGGGGCCTGGCGGACCTAGTTCTAACGTGAGGCCAGCCCAGGTCACTTGGAAGACCAGCCCCAGTCCCTTGAGAGGCTCTCAGGACCGCCTCCCCCACCGCACTCTCACGCCGGTCTGCCACTGTCCGTGGGGTAATAGCACCCAAAGGAGCTCAGCCCAGCCCAGAGGCGTTCTGTGAAAGGCTAGAGACAGCTTGGAAGACATGGCTCATTGAACTCTACCCATACACCACCGCCATTAAAATGTTCTCTCTGCTCCGGGGGAGGGTGGCGCTGCTTGGACGTCACTGTTAAATTACAAACATGATTCTGTCCAGTGATATCAGCAGCGTGGCCAGGTTTGGCAGCTCGGGCCGGGGCCAGCCACTGGGGAAGGAGAGGATCTGTCCCTCATCTCCCGCTCTCTGACCCCGACCCCATCCCTGCCCCCTCAGTACTTAGCTTGTTTGTTGGGGGCCCTGGGTATCTCCTGGCCCGGCCCCCTCCGTTCTCCTAGAAACTGTCCCCACCTGTGTTCCCTGGTAGCCATAAATAGAGTTAACCATTTCATGGCTGGTGCTAATGACCTCATTAGCTTCCTGCCCCAATGGGGCTCCTGAATCGTAAAACCCGTGTGACACCTGCCCCTGGGGTCGAAGCCCTAACAGCGGGATTTCAAGCAGTGCCATAAACGGGAGGTCAGGGAGACCTGGGGACGACAGTCTGGGTGGAGGAAAGTGGGGACCCGTGCAGGCAAAGCGGCCATCCGTTCTCCTTCCGGGGCTGATTGGCCGGGTGGGGAAGGGAGTGAATGGTTAACTTCCGGCATCTGATGCCATCCGGAGGACGGGCCTGGGTGAGCACCCCCTCCCAGCGTAGGAGGGACAGAAGTTGCTGGAACTGGAGATCCGGGTTGGAAAGGGAAGTGAGGAATGTTGCAGGAGATTCTCTCAAACTGTATTGACGACCAAAAAACACCTGGGCCTCAGAAGCTCCAGGGTGGAACCTGGGCAGGTGTGTGCGGAAGTCACTTCACAGGTGATTGTTTCGCATGCTGGTTCAACACCCTGGACAGAAGGAGCCCTAAGTCCACGCTGCTCAGTCACGTACAGACACATCGCCTGAGCATCCTGGGAAAATGCAGATTTCCTCACCAGGAGGTCAGGGGCGGGGCCTGGACCTCCCCATCTCTAACCAGCTTCTCAGTGTCCTCGATGCCGAGATTTAGTGCACTGAGCAGACGGCCTTAGAGAAGCGGTTCTGAAATTCACCCTGGAGGTTTTGAAAATAATCCATGGGAATAATCCATGCCCGCATTTCTAATACTCTCCAGGCAGTTCTGCTGCACAGAGGCTTGGAGAACCAGACATAAATGTGCTCTGACATAAGCACCTGGGAACTTTAGCTCAGTGGGGAAGCTTGCCTTGTGGGGCCCAGCCTTCCCGTCCTTTCTGGGTTGGCCATAGTCCCTGAGAAGTTCAGCGGGCTGCAGTCACTCACGACGTGGGCACACGGGCCCGTGGCAAGGTCCTTGAGGGCCGGGCTATTGCTTGAGCCAAATCAAGCTCAGAACTGGAAGCAGCTAACAAAGAAGGTGCTATGGGCCATCAAAAGCAATTATCTCCCCTCCCACAGGATATGGAGGTAACTGCAGAGAAACTGGAATATGTTTTAAATGCGGTGCTGCGAAAGAGTAAGTGCTCATACCCACCACCCATCGGGGACCCCAGGGCTCCTAAGGGGACGTGTGACCTGTGACTGCATACCTCCTGGCTCCCCCCCAGCTCTCCCAGGTTCCCTGCTTTCCAGGGCTGGCCTTAGGTAGACTTTAAAAATAGCTTTTGTTGTTTCTTTCCTGATTACAAAAACGAAGCCCGTTATGGCAGAAAATTCTAAGATAGTCAGAAAAGCCCCAAGACAATGACCAAAGCCACCAATAATCAACTGCCCATAAATAACCACCGTTAAGATACGTGTGTGTATCTTCATGTATGTGTCGTCTGTATCTCTCAGTGTGTGGCTATATGTGCACACACATAATTGTCATTAAATTATAGATCCAATTTTTATTTATTTATTTTTTTAATGTTTATTTATTTTTGAAAGAGAGAGAGAGAGAGACAGAGCGCGAGTGGGGAAGGGGACAGAGAGAGAGGGGGACACAGAATCCGAAGCAGGCTCCAGGCTCTGAGCTGTCAGCACAGATGCGGGGCTTGAACTCGTGAACCTCGAGATCATGACCTGAGCCGAAGTCGGATGCTCGACCGACTCAGCCACCCAGGTGCCCCTTGACAATTTTATTTTTTAATGTCACAGCTTTGAGATATAATTCACCTACTATACCATTCACCCCCCACGGGTTTTAGGATGTTCGGAAAATTGTGCAACCACCACCAAGTTTAGAACATTCCATCACTCCAAGAAGAAACCCTGTACCCAGTAGCTGTCACTCCCCATCGCCCCCATCCCATGGCAACCACCTATCTACTTTCTGTCTCTATTAGGCTGGCCTATTCTGGACTTTTCATATAAAAAGAATCATGTGGGACGCCTGGGTGGCTCAGTCGGTTAAGCATCCGACGACTCTTGATCTCAGCTCAGGTCTTGATCTGAGGGTCGTGAGTTCAAGCCCCGTGTTGGGCTCCACGATGGGCATGAAGGCTACTTAGGAAAAAAAAAAATCATGTAATAGGGAGTCCTTTTTCATGGGCTTCTTTACGTAGCATAACATTCACAAAATCTATCCACGTTGTAGTATTTACCAGGATCACTGCATCCCTTTTTGTGGCCAGATAATGTTTCGTTGTAGGAATACACCAGGCGCCGTTTATTCCTCACGGGGAGACATTTGCATTGTTGCCCCTTTCCGTTCTAAATGTTTGCCATTATTAATGACCAAATGATAAAAAAAAAATCTTAATTTGTAATTCTTTGCTTGGGAGTCTTAAAACTAGGATAAGGAATGGAAAGATATCCCCATTTTTTTTTTAATTTTTTTTTTTCAACGTTTATTTATTTTTGGGACAGAGAGAGACAGAGCATGAACGGGGGAGGGGCAGAGAGAGAGGGAGACACAGAATCGGAAACAGGCTCCAGGCTCTGAGCCATCAGCCCAGAGCCTGATGCGGGGCTCGAACCCACGGGCCGCGAGATCGTGACCTGGCTGAAGTCGGACGCTTAACCGACTGCGCCACCCAGGCGCCCCAGATATCCCCATTTTTAAGGCATCTTTTTTATATTTAGCAAATTTTCCTCACAAAAGGCCTTGTCAGTTTCCACTGTCACCAGCATCCTGGGAGTGACCACGTGTCCCCCTCACCAGCCCCCGATCTGACCACACCGTAGGACTTCCAGCAGCTGGAAATAGGTTTATCTTATCACATGTCCCATGAATTCTGCTTTCGTGTGTGATTTCAGAAAAGGACGTCAAATTCAAGAAGCTCAGCCTGATTTCCTGTAAAAACATCATTTCTCTAATGGACGTATCCTTCCAAATTCATGGGCAGAAATAGCTGTGCTTTCCTGCGGTGCGGACCTTTCTAGAATGTGGCCTCCTTCACGGGTAGGATAGGCGTCTCCTCGGGGAACAACCCAAGATGGCCGCCCCTAGAATTGGAACCGAATCAAGAGGCCCGAACTGGCCAGTGGGGGGAAGGTTTTGAAGGGACTTGGGGATCTTGTTACCACTTTGGGGTCCTCTCTAAGAGAATAAAGGGAGTTTTTTTTATAATGTGCTTTTTCGAGCCTTCTGGTGCCCTCCCCATCTCACCCCTGCAGTTTTCATTCTTCAGAGATGCATGGTTTGTAATTAAGCCACCTCCCTAAGAGCCCTGGATCTGTGTCCCCAGTCCCCCGGGGCCAGCCCCTTGCCCCTTCATCTCTGGAGTCCTACGAGGCACTGGGTTGAAGCCCGGCTCACCTGCCTTCTTCCCTTCCTTCCTTAATGCTCTTGGCACAGACCAGCGGCAATGGGAAGCTGGAGTTCGCGGAGTTCAAAGTGTTCTGGGACAAGCTGCAGAAGTGGACAGTAAGTAACTCGGCCGGGGCCTGGCCTCTGGGGATTGCGTGAGCCTAGAGCAGGAGGGGGTTCTAAACGGTCAAGGTGCTGCCAGCCAGGAGAGGGCAGAAGGGAAGTAATTATGGTGGAATTTCCATTCCCAAGATCACGTCTCAGGCTTAGCAAAGTACCACAGCGCTGGCGCCCAAATTGAAAAGGGAAATCACAGGGACCCGTCTGTTTTGAAGGCCTCGCCCGACCCTGTGAGGAGTCTGTCCTCCCGCGCTGGCTGTCGCTGGCTGGCGCCCCTGGGTGCCCTCTGGTTCTCAATGCCTCTGTCCTCCCTGTAGAACCTATTCCTTCAGTTCGATGCTGACAAGTCTGGCACCATGTCCTCCTATGAGCTGCGGACTGCCCTGAAAGCCACAGGTAAAGAAAAGCCTAGAAGAGACTAGAAGCCACTTGCTTCTGGTGCCCTGGAGGGTGGCCGGTCTTTAACCTGAGTTCATGCTTCTTTTTTTTTTTTTTTTTAATTTTTTAATGTTTATTTATTTTTGAGACACAGACAGAGCATGAACGGGGGAGAGTCAGAGAGAGAGGGAGACACAGAACCTGAAGCGGGCTCCGGGCTCCGAGCTGTCGGCACAGAGCCCCACGCGGGGCTCGAACTCACGAACCGTGAGATCGTGACCTGAGCCGAAGTCGGAGGCTCACCCAACTGAGCCACCCAGGCGCCCCTGAGTTCATGCTTCTTAAGAGCACAGCCCTGTCAGTGCCGGAGGCAGGCCTCGGGCTCAGGACTCGCTCCCGCACACTGGGACCCGTGTTTTAAACTGCTGTGCAATTTTGGAGTCTTTCAAATGTACCCACTAGGGCTGAACTTAGCCTCACCCCCTCTCTCAGCCTCTGGCCGAGCTTCCTGGCCAAGCAGGGGTACGTGTGGCCCTTTGGTGGCAGGCCGTGGTGCTTCCAAGCCTCTAATTGCACTCTAGGACGGTGATTATCATGGATGATCCCATGGTTGGGGGTCAGGGAGGAGCTCACAGATTTCCTCCGCCATCTGCCACCCTGTCCCTGGCTTTGTCACCAGCAGACTGAATCCAAACCAGATGATTCAGTCCTAACATCTACGAGCTCCCTACACAAAGGACAGGATCCAGGTGGCGTCTCTCATACCCCCGCAGTCCCCACCATGGCGGTCTGAGTGTCTGGGGTTGGCCGTCCTTTGCACGTAGCCGTGGCCTTGAGGCCACTGCAACCCACAGCCCCTGCCAAGCTGCGTGGTGCTTCTCACAGAGCATGCCTCACAGACAGGCCCCCTGGGCCCTGCCAGAGTTTTTAATGTGGTTCCCTCCTGGGTAAACCAAACATCCAGAAACATCGTCAGCTAGTAGAGACATGCAGTGTCTGAGGACAGCGGCCCCCCGCTGGGCCTGAGAACCCGCACTTTGCGGACAGAGCGCCGGGCGCTTCCCGAAGGTGCACCCTCGGGGCCCGGCCTTTGACGGGCTGGGGTCTCCTCGCTCTTCCCCACAGGCTTCCAGCTGAGCGGTCGCCTCCTGCAGCTGATTGTCCTCAGGTACACAGACAAGAACCTCCAGCTGGGCTTTGATGACTTCCTCAACTGCCTGGTCCGGCTGGAGAACGCTAGCCGTGAGTGTCCTCGGGGGCCCTGGGCCCCCAGGAGGGGGGCCACGACCCCTGGGCTCCCTTCCAGGAGCTGGTGAGAGATAACCTGCCAGAGATCCTGGCGAGGACAGGCCACAGGCGGCTGTCATCGTGTGATCTCTGCGCTGCGTGTGGTTAACTGAGGGGTGGGGGTGGGGGCGTCTTCGTGCACGACCTGTGGGTTATGGGCCCAGCACATTTCCGCTTGCTAAGAGCCATTCTCCTCGCGTGCATTCACAGTGTCCTCGTGGGAGGACAGGGCCACGGGTGGGGGGGGGGCTCCTGCCTCTTATCTGAGGAAGGCCCCATCTGAGGTCAAATCTGTCACAGCACACAGAACCAGGGGAGTCCCTCCCCTTCTCCCTCTCCCTCCGTCCCCCTCCCTCCACCCTACCTTTGTGTCTTGTACTCGACATTGTCTTGTCCAAACACTTGTCTGAACGCTGACCCAGTTATCCCAGACAAGAGTCGTTACTCAAGAGATTATGTGCAGGGGGTCCTTAGGGCTTACAGTTTCTCGTCACACTGTCACAAAGTTGAAGCTGAAAGAAACGCATCCGGGGGCTTGTCACCCAGGACCGGGGTGGCTGTCAGGGTTGGGGGAGGGGAGCGAAATGCGTTGACGCACGGGGCCCCGCACCCCTGAGGAGGCCCGCGCTTGGTTTAATGCTTTGACGTCGCCATCTTGAATTTTAATCATTTTTGTACAGGGGGCCCCACATTTCCATTTTGCGCTGGGCCCCACAGATCAGGGCCCCGTTCTGCTCGGCATTTTCTAAAGGGTGCTCACTTAGGTGACTTCAAGGCACTCGTTAAACCAAGGCAGGGTCCGTGCTCCTCGGTTCTAGGGTGCTGGGGCTCCCCCCTCGGCTTCTTTTGTGCCACTTAGGTCACAGGTGATTCCCTGCTGAAGCCTGTCTCCACCAGGCTGTCATCCCTGGGAGGGCTGGGCTTAGGAGACAAGCAAGACACTTCTGCTGGCTGATCGTGGTGCTTTGAGAGAGGCAAGCAGGTCCTTGGCCTTGTACGCCAAGCCGGGAGGTTGCGCCTTCTGTAGGCAGTCACCAGCAGCTGGTAAGAAGTGCATTTTAGGAAGGCCTCCTGAAAGATTGTCACTTAGTACAATCACGCAGTGGCCAGAACCGACCTAAAAATGATGAGACTTGGTAGCTTCTCTTCTCTCAACTGCCCCTGTCCTGAGTCCCCTTGGGCCGATCCTTCCCAGCAAGGGGTGCTCAACGTGTTCTTACAACAGAGGACTATTAGGGGGAAGGTACGGTTGCCCCAACACCCTCTGCTCCGGGATCCTCACGTTAGATTCACCACCTGGAGACCGTTTTTAAAATACCAAGGCTAGGGTTTTACCCCAGGATCATTTAAACTTTTTACTCTAGAAATTTTTACTCATACATAGGTAGAAAGAATGACAATCGGTCCCCATGTGCCCTGCACCAGTGTTTCCAAACTTTGCCACCCACTACAAAGTCCCTCCCCGCCCCCAGGGAAGGGCTAGCATTTTTTTTTTTAATTTTTTTTTTTTTTTTCAACGTTTATTTATTTTTGGGACAGAGAGAGACAGAGCATGAACGGGGGAGGGGCAGAGAGAGAGGGAGACACAGAATCGGAAACAGGCTCCAGGCTCTGAGCCACCAGCCCAGAGCCCGACGCGGGGCTCGAACTCAGGGACCGCGAGATCGTGACCTGGCTGAAGTCGGACGCCAACCGACTGCGCCACCCAGGCGCCCCTGGGGCTAGCATTTTTTGATGACCTGGGAGTGTGGGGAGGACGGGCACAACAGGAGAAGGGGATTAAAAGAAAAAATAATGTTTTGTGATGACCAGGCTGCCCGGGAGGCCAACTGAATAGAATCCGGGGGGTGACACACAGTGTCAGTATTTATAAAAATTCCCCCAGGGAGTTCTAGGGCCTTATACCAGCCTCAGCAACGATCGTTCTGCTGATCTTTCAGACGTCCTTCTAACGCATCCTTTTTTCCTGAATTATTTAATAACAGACCTCAGAAATTGAGTCCCTTCCCCTGTCGATATCTCTGACAGGCAGGCTCTCCGCGAGCCCTCAACCTCATCTAAGACCTGGCCCCTGCTCAACTTCCGCAGGCCGTCTTTCCACGTTGGCTTGCTGGTCTCGGGAGGTACCCAACTGCATTGGGCTGTCGGGCCCTGTCTGTTTTGTTCTAGGACAGCCACCCTTTCCCCCCTTTTGCTGTATTTCTCAAGTTCCCGGGTGACTCTCAGGGGAAGCCGGGGTTGAGTGGCTCGGCCACTTTGACTAAGATGGGGAGACTGAGGCCCAGAGAGGAAAGTAACCCCCAGGCTATTCAGCACTTCAGCCATGGCGTCCAGCTTAGAGGGCTGTCTGTCCTACCTTTGCTCCTATGTGTGGGAGCAGCTGGGGGCTCATGTTCTTGTAAGAGGCTCATGGAGGCTGAACGGCTCTCAAGACTCAGGCAAAACTTTACGTACGTGTGTTCTTTCTCTGGGGAGGAGGTCCATAGATTGCAGGGGATCGGTAGCTCCCCAAAAAGTTAGCACAGGGGAGATGTTTGGGGCCCGGGAGCTGGCCGGCTGACTGGCACATTGTAGATGACAACAGGTGCCACCCAATGGTAAGGCCACCAGCTCCGCCATCCCAGGAATTCAAGAGCCTCCCCCAGGCGCGAGAGATCCCCACGGAGTCAGCCTGAGTCTGGCCTGCTGTTCTAGAAGACCCGTGCTCACCACCAGATGGAGCAGTTCCTCCACCAGCAGCCCGGCAGGCCCCAAGGTCACAGGAAACCCTTGAACCTGTTGAAGGAACCGTCCCCACAATGATGCCTTTCTCATGTCTCTCCCCGTTAGGGGTGTTCCAGGCGCTCAGTACAAAGAACAAGGAGTTCATTCATCTCAACATAAACGAGGTACGAACCGGCCAGCGCGAGGCAGAGCCCATGCTGTGTAAACGCTTGCTGAATGCGTGACTGAATGTGAAGTTTACACTGAGCCACGGGGGCAGTGACAACAGTAAACTTGCTAATATGTTTAGGGACCCGTCGGTTAGCAGTCCATGCGATCATTGCCAGAGCCCTGTGAGCTAAGGATTCATAGCATCCCCGTTTTGCAGAAGTGGAAACTGAGGCATAAAGAGCTTAATCACCTGAACAGAGTGAGCCAGCAAACCTTGACTGCTTCTCTGCCTTCTGCCATACGGGTTCCTCAGCCTGTCTGCCTTCTAGCCTCCAATTTGTTCACTCCCCTTGCTCATGCCGTCCTGCGGGTCTCATGATTCTATGCACACGCGCGCACACACCTCAAAAACCCTGAGAAAGACACACCTTGTGCCAGTGACAGGGGCTGACCACAGCCAAAGCGATGGAGGGCAGAACACGGATCAGAGTTTCAGAGGCTCGGAAGGGGCGCCCCAGGTGTAGACAGTCCTCTCCCCGCTGCCCAGAGCGTGGTCTGCAGACCCCCAGCGTGGGCATTAACCGAGGCGAGCTGGTTAGGAACAGCAGAGTGCCACGTGGGGACGACAGCCCACAGGACTGCCATAGGCCCCCGAGTTGCTAAAAGACACCATCTGCACTATTCTCGCCACAAAAAAGACATGACCGTTACGTGACCTAAAAGGGGTGTTCGCTAACGCCACGGTGATAATCCCCCTGCAACATATAAGCATATCCAATCAACACGTTGTACGTCCTCCACTCACACGGTGTTCCATGTCAGTTATATGTGGCCAAAATAAATAAAACTAAAATAAAAATCACGCAAATAAGAAATGCAGAGGACCAAGCCCCACCCCCGACCTGCTGAGTCAGATCTTGTTTTAGGAGGATCCCCAGGGATTCCTAAGGTTTGCGAGTGCTGGCTGGTCATCCTCCTGCCCCAAGGCAGGGAGGGAGAAAATTATGGAGCACTTTCCTCCAATGGTTCCCACGATTTTTATTTCCCATTATTTTCCTTTCCCTCCCCGTGTCTTCCGCTCCAGCTCTGCCTTCCCTTGAACTTGACAGTAGCAAAGGAGGCAGCCTGTGTCCCCTTCCCAACCTTGGGCCCTTTCCCCTCCCCTCCCTCTTTCACATTCACACCGCAGACACCCGGCTCCTTTCCAAATTCAACAGCAACTTTGGATTTGGGTTGCATTTTACCGACTATCAAGATGAAGAGGTTGATGGCCGTGTGGGCCGTGCTTTGACGCATTCACCTGCCCTGTGCCTCAGTGTCACCATTTGCAGAGAAATCAAGGCCTTAGCCTGAGGATTCCAAAGAAAGATGTGCGTACCCACCCTGGTCCTTTACAAACACAAGAGGGACTCCTAGACAGATTTCTCAGTTTCGTCAGGGTTTGGCCTCTGTTAAGCCAGGGACAGTTTCCGCCTGTCCCCAGTGCGGGGGGAGAGTGGGCAGGTGTGGTACTCAATACCCTCTTAGCCAAAGGCCTCGAAGCCAAAGGCCACCAGAAGCATGATAGAAGCATCCCACTGCCTCAGCGTCAAGGTGTCATTTCCAAACCAAGCGTCCACGGGTGTGGGGGCTGGAACAAGCTCTCTTTCCTGTCTGCCCTCCCCTCGGCAGACCCAAGCCATCTCGTGTAAGTTCCCGCCCCCGGCCCCTTGTTCACCTCCAAGACAACATGGAGATGTCGAAGATCTTGGAGTCTTCTCCCTCTCTCTCCCTTCAAGCCCATCATCCTCAACTCCGGCTGCACATTAGCATCACCTGGGGGAGATTTCAAAACCCCAGTGGCCTGGCCATGACCCAGACCAAATAAGTCCAAATCTCTCGGGGTGGGGCACAAGCATTGATACATTTTTTTAAAGGGTGGGGAGGGAGAGAGAGAGAGAGAGGATGGGAGAGGGGCAGAGGGAGAGGGAGACAGAATCTTAAGTAGGCTCTACACTCAGCACAGAGCCTGAGGTGGGGCTCGATCCCAGAGCCCTAGGACCATGACCTGAGCTAAAGTCAAGAGTCAGATGCTTAACCGACCGAGCCACCCAGGCATGCCCAAGCATTGATATTTTTTAAATTCCCCGATGAGTCCAATATACGGCCAAGTTCAAGAGCCACAGTTGGGACCCCCCCTTCCCATCCACCTAGGTAACAATGGATCTTTGCCCTGCCTGGGTTGGCCCCACCCACAGTTACTCTGCTAAAAGAGCCTGTGCGTCGTCCTTCACCCAGCCGCCTTCCCTGACCCTGGCCTCGGCACGTGCTGTGCCCAGGAAGAGGGGCAGAGAGGAGAGAAAACAACGTCCCACACAAGCACGGTCCCCCACGTCACCATGCTGTGATAGGAAAGCTGGGGTGGAGAGGCGGGGAGGCAGAGGCAGGGTGGAAGAAATGAGAATTGCATGCAACTTCTCCACCAGCTCACTTGTAAAGAGCCCGGATGCTGAGCCCGCAGCCTCCACATGATGGAGGACCACCTGTGTCCTCACCGTGAGGGAGAAACGGCTGAGGAGCCTCAGGAAGGCTGTCTGCTTTGCCAGGAGAAAGCACACTTCCCTGTCTCTCACCGTCTGCACTTGACTTGAGCCAATTCAGAACTCAGGACCTCTGGGAAAACAAAGTGCTGAGGATTCTTTTTTTTTTTTTTTAATATTTCATGTCAAAGCAGAAGACCATACTCGCAGGCAAGGCAATCGCATAGCAGAGTTGCCATGGACTCAACAAGCCAGTGCTGGCGGGGACCTAGAGGGATAACCAGCCCTTCTCTTTCTTTCTCCTTTTTGTTCCCAGTTCATCAAGCTGACAATGAACATCTGAGGCTTCCCTGGCAAGGACGCACTCTGTCCGTCTGAGTCTTGACTTCTGGACCACGAACTTCAGAACGTTTCATGGTGTAGAGCTCTCCTCTCATGACCCAACCTTCTCCTCCCCCTGCCCCACCATCTTGATCTTGGAAGAATGAAATGGACACAGCTCTGACCTCGGATTTTATGCTATTTCTCTGTACAATCACTTCCCGAAGATGGCTGGTGCCTTACCTTCAGGTTCAGGCATTCCCCTTTCCTTCTCCACCTCTTCCCACTACTAATTATCCAAAGTGTAACTTGGTGCATAGAACCCTGGCTTCAACGGAGCATCCATCATTATACTCAAACATCCGACACAGGACAATGTTTTTGTTTTTGTTTTGTTTTGTTTTTAAGCTTATTTATTTTGAGAGAGAGAATGTGTGTGCATGCACGAGTGGGGAAGGGGCAGAGAGAAAGGGAGCGCAGGCTCCACCCTGTCAGTGCAGAGCCTGATGTGGGGCTTGAACTCACAAACCCTGAGATCATGACCTGAGCCGAAATCGAGAGTCAGACACTTAACCAACTGAGCCACCCAGGCGCCACAGGACAATGTTTTTGTAAGTACGTTGGGGATGAGAAGGGAAAGGTGTGATGTCATAATTAAGCATTTTCTTCATCCTAGGTGTGTTTGCTTACTGGGGGCAAACATCAGGGAATTCCGGATGCTTACTTGTAGGAGCGGAACAACACGAAAATCTCTATTTCCTCCTCCAAGAGGTGGTAACTAATTCTCCATCCAGTCCAGACACTCTTTGTGTCTAAAGCTTTTGGGTCAGAAATGCCAAAGGCAATGTTATTTCTTCTCGGGAGTCCAGATTCAGGTCAGACTGGATTGCATTCATTTCCACCATGATGGCGGAAGAACAGGGTGGAGAAGCCTTGTTTTAGCTCCCTGACCCTGCATAGGAAAATCCCACCAAACTGGATCATGGAAAATAACATGATAAGATGTTGCCTCAGTAAATGCTAGGTCTCGCTTTCTTATTTATATACCTGTGGCAGGTGAGGTGGCATGGAAAGGTGTTCAGAGAGGGAAGGAGGAAGCATGGTTGGGATGAACATGAAGGTAGAAACAAAACCTCATCAAGAGCCCTGCCCCCTGGCTGAAGGTGTCAGGGCAACACGGTCTTCTCTCTCGCTTCCCAACCCTTCCCTGAGCTCACCCAGCAATGGATGCAGGACAGGAGCGACGTGCAACAGCCATATTTTCTAGTTTTTGCACTTGATCATTGACACATTGAGGCCTTGCTGACCCTGGGGGGGACTGCCCCTTTCGGGGCTAGTCAATTCCCAGAGAGAGCAAACAACTTGCATTGACAAGCCACCCAATCCAGAGCCCACACCCCAACCATCTCCTCTATGGGGCTTTCACACTCCAGGCCTCTACCCAACCCCCCCCCCACCCTAATCACCACGGGGCCAGGTGCCATACAACTCTGGGGCACCCCTATGCCCCAGAGCCTGCTGAAATTACTCTGCCTCACTCATTCTTCCCATGGAAACCACAGTTAAGACTCTCGCCCATGTTTTCCTCTTGCTCCCTCTACTTCTTGAGCAATCCCGGGGGGTCTCTGTATGGTCCTACATGGCAGGCCCCCTCCTCTTGGGATCTGTGAGTATAACAAGTTACCTTTTCAATAGCAACTGTCTCCTGATCTGTTGGTCTGACACCACGTGATAACTCGAATGTGTCAGGAGAAATGAACAGCACTACAAATGGTATCTGTGGGCAAAGACAGAAGACTATACATATATGTTTTCTCTTTTCTAAACCTCTTTTCTCTTTTCTCTTAATTTTGTTAAAAGATGTAAGATTATATAAAACTATAATTATAACACTATATCTTTGGGTTTATAGCATTCTTGGAGATATAATAATTACACAAAAGAAAGGGAGGAAATTGAGATATATTGAAACAATATTGCTATATTTTACTGAAATTAAGCAAGTATTAACCCGAGGTAGATGGTATAAGTTATATGCATATCTTAATCTGTAAAGCAACCTCTAAGAAAATAACAAAAATGAAGTAAAGCAACAGAGGAATTGAAATGGTATACCTAGAAAAAAGTTGTTTAGCACAAAAGCAGTAAGGGGGAACACATTTTTAAAATGAGGAATAGAAAACAAAATGGCAGACCGAAATCCAACCACATCAATAATATTAAATATAAATGGATAAACACTATAATCAAAAGGCAGTGATTATCAGAATGGATTTAAAAAATAAGATTCAATGGCTACTGTCTACATGAGACACACTTCACACAAAAAGACACAAATAGGTTAGAAGTAAAATGATGAGGAAGGTATACCAGGCCAATGGTAGCCATAAGAGACCCAGAGTGATTATATTACTATCAAACAAAATTAACTTCCAGAAAAAAGTATTTCTAAAGACAAGGAAGGATATTGCATGATCATAAAGTGTGAATACATTAGGAATATATAACAATTATAAACGTAACACTACCTAACAGTAGAGCCTCAAAATTTATGAAGCAAAAATGCATAGTATTGAAAGAATAGACAGTCTAACAATTAGATATTTCAATATCCCACTTTAGTAATTGATACAACAGCTAGACAGAAAATCAGCAAAGATGCAGACGCTTAAATAACACTACCAAGCAATTTGACTAATAGACATTTTAGAGCACTCTATCTAAAATAAGTACACATTTTTTCAGAAGCAGATGGAACATTCTCCAGGTTACATCATATACTAGGCAATCAAACAAGTTTCAATGCATGTAGGTAATACTCCATACTAAGAGAATAAAGGACAAAAGCTTCATGAACATCTTAACATTTGCAGAAAAATCCCGAACAAAATCCAACATCATTCATGATCAAAACTCTTGAAAGACTGAGAGTAGAAGGAAACTTTCTCAACTTTACAAAAGGCAGTTAAAAGAAACCCACAACTGTCATACTTACTGGTAAGAGCCATGGTAAAAGGCTGAATCCTTTCCCCCAAAGATCGGGAATAAGGCAAAGATATCAGTGCTCACCATTTCTGTTCAACACTACACTAGAGGTTCTACCAGTGTAACAGAGGCAAGAAAAAGCCATTAAATGCAAACAGACTGTAAAGGAAGGAGTAAACCTATTGACAGATTCATAGATGACCTGAATCTGTGCACAACAAAAATTCCTGAATATTGTGCATAAAATCTACCTAAAGAACAAAGTAAGAATACTTACTCTGCTTGATTTCAAAACTTAGTATGAGCTATAGTAATCAATAGAGTATGGTTTTGGCTTAAAGACAAACATGCAGATAAATTGAGCAGAAGTCAGGAAATAAACGCCTCCATTTATAGTCAATTTATTTTTTACAAAGGTGCCAAATCAATTTGATGGAGGAAAGGATAGTCTTTTCAACAAATGGGACTGGGATGATTGAATATCCATATAGCTATATACAAAAACAAAAACAGTCATGTCATACCATATACAGAAATCGACTCAAAATGTGTCATACCTAAATGTAAGAACTGAAATGATCAATCTTTTAAAACAAAACATAGGAGTCATTCTTTGTGATCTTAAATTAGGCAAAGCTTTCTTAGATATGTCACCAAAAGCACAATTCATAAAAGAAAACTTTGGCAAATTAGACTTCATTGGAATTAAAATATTTGCTTTTCAAAAGACACCATTATAATAATAAAAAGAAAAGCCACAAACTGGAAGAAAATATTTGCAAATCAGACGTCTGACAAATGATTCGTTTCCAGAATATGTAAGGAACTACAACTCAATAGGGAAACAAACAACCTGATTTTCTAATTTTTTTAAATATTTCTTTCTTTTTGAGAGAGGGTGGGGCAGGGGCAGAGAAGGGGGCACAGAATCCGAAGCAGGCTCCAGGCTCCGAGCTGTCAGCACAGAGCCCGATAAGAGGCTCAAACTCATGAACAGTGAGATCGTGACCTGAGCTGACGTTGGACGCTTAACCAACTGGGCCACCCAGGTGCCCTCCCCTTTTAAAAAAATTTTTTTTAATGTAAACAACCCAATTTTCTAAATGGGCTAAGATTTCACCAGACCTTTCTCTGAAGAAGATACGCCAATGGAAATAAGCACATGAAAAGATGCTGAATGTCACCAGTCATTAATGAAATGCACACATTGTCACATTGAAGCCATAGTGGGATACCACACAGACCCACTGGAATGGTTATCATGAAAAAGACTGACAACACCCAGTGCTGGTGAAGATGTATAGAAACTGCAACCCTCATCCATTGCTGGGGGGAAAGTAATGTACCATTACTTGAAAAACAGTTGGGTTTCCTTTAAAAGTTAAACACATACTTACCATGTACATCAGCAAATCCACTCTCAATGACCTACCTAAGAAAAATGAAAATACATGATACACACACAAGACTTGTATATGATGCTCCGTAGAAGATTTATTTATAAAGCCGGAAAGAAAAATGAACCCAACCCATCACTGGGGAATAGTTTAACAAAATTCATCACAATGAAATGTAAATATTGTAAAATAAACTGTTGATATATGCTTTTTCAATTTCGCATGTGCATAAAACTCTTTTGAAAGGCAAATCCGTAGAGACAAAAAACAGATCTGCAGTCGCTGGGGGGCTAGAAACGGAAGTGAGGATTCATGGAATAGCGTGAGAACAGTGTGGGGTGATGGAAATATTCTAAAATTGGATGGTGGCAATGGTTGTAAAACTCTATACATTTACTAAGGAGCATTTGTTTGTACTCTTACAGTGGGTGTGTTTTGTGATGTTTAAATTATACCTCAAGAGGGGCGCCTGGGTGGCCCAAGTCGTTCAGCATCTGACTCTTGATTTCAGATCAGATCATGATACCAGAGTCATGGGATCGAGCCCCGAGTCAGGCTCCACGCTGATCGCTGATTGTGGACCCTGCTTAAGATTCTCTCTCTCTCTCTGCCTCTACCCCTCCCCTGCTCACATGCGCAC